TCAAAGTGCAATCGGGCGTGGGCTGCACTGGAGCTCTGGGTCAGTCCTTTCGCCCGCGGTCACCCGATGGTCTACGTGGGCGCACCTCCGGGCCCATTCCGACATTTGTAACCATAACGATGGCGTTTCACCGCTGCTGATATCGCAGTGATTTTAGAAAAGTTGTAAGAAGAAAAACGAAAAACCCACCACTTCAATCCAGGTTAAAAAAGCATTGTGACGCACGTTACTGACATTTGTACAGAGTAAAATATGACCATGTTTCCCCTGTAATGCCACATTACTACGTTGCAGCAAAAAGCAATACAGTACAGTAATTTGTTACTTTTAGAACACGTTACTCCCAACACTGGACCTCAATGTGTCTGTAGTGAAAACCTGGCTCACACAGAAGTCTTTCACCGTGTGTTTCCAGAGTTTCTGTGTGTGTGAAATCTGTTTATATTGGGATTTGTGTGTTTTCAGTTTTGTCCTTTGTGTTTCTGGTCTGTGGTGCAAATGGATATTATAGTTTTTTTATTGTGTCTTAGGTTCTGCATGACGTGTTTTGTAGTTTTGATCTGAGAGTTAAAGTAGTAGATAGTGCCAACATGAACCGAGTATTTGCTCCGGAAATGAAAGGATCCAAAAGATTCAGATCTCATAAAAAAGCCAAAAGTCGCATCACCGGCATTAATATTACACGAACTGTGAACTTAAACATGTGAATGAAACAAAACAAAAAAACACAACTCCACGTCTGTTTTTGACGAGGAAACAACATTAGAACAGATCAGAAAATAGGCTAATATGGACCGTTTAAAGCAGAAAAAAAAGTTCATTTCAGCTCTTTAATTCCTCACATTTATCTGGCTGTAGGTCCGTGTGTAACCCCCATACATCAGGCCCTCTGTGATTTAGAGCCTGTCTGCGCTGCGTGCTATAGGAGCCAATGCAAACAAACTGCACACATTATGATAAATCCAAATATATTATAAGACTGAAAACACTGGCAACCGAATGTGCACTGTGTTCCAAGCGAGAGAGGGCGTCAAATTAGAGCAGGCTGAGTGCTGGCTGCTACAAGAGCCATATACATTACAATATATGAGCTCCACACTTCATTTACTCCAGTCTGTTATAAATACATCCAGGGCCTCGTGGTGAACTCAAACCCGTGTCCCTGGTGACCGTCGGAACATCTGAAGAAGGGAACTAAACGTGATAAGTGGAGGTCAGAGAGAGGAACAATGTAATGGATTCAGTTACAGGTTTTAGTGGCTCAGATGGTTGGTGAGTTGGTGGTTCTGTTCACAGTGTTGGGGAGTAACAGATTACATGTACTGGAGTTACGTAATCAGAGTACAAATTATGAGTAACTGTATTCAGTTACAGTTACTGTTTCAGTGAGTGGTAACTGGATTACAGTTACACACACAGCGATATTTTCCTGTTTTCACATTTTGGGCTATTCCCTTTTTTTTGTTTTTTTTTTTTTGTTTGTTTGGTAATTCCACTCATTGCCGGACACTAAATCAGGTCTAAACCAGGACTAAACCAGGACTAAACCAGGTCTAAAACCAGGACTAAACCAGGACTAAACCAGGTCTAAAACCAGGACTAAACCAGGTCTAAAACCAGGACTAAAACCAGGACTAAACCAGGTCTAAACCATGTCTAAACTAGGTCTAAAACCAGGTCTAAAACCAGGTCTAAACCAGGTCTAAACCAGGACTAAACCAGGACTAAACCAGGACTAAACCAGGACTAAACCAGGACTAAAACCAGGTCTAAAAACCAGGACTAAAACAGGACTAAAACCAGGACTAAAAGGTCTAAAACCAGTCTAAACTAGGACTAAACTAGGTCTAAACCAGGTCTAAACTAGGTCTAAACCAGGTCTAAACCAGGTCTAAACCAGGATTTAACAGGACTAAACCATGCTGTGCGGACCGTGTTTCCTCCTCTTCTATCACTAATATTTTTAATTTGGTTCAGTAAAGTCTGGGTTTTTTTATTTTCTTTTATCAGACAAAACATCTTATGTGAAGATTTCCTCGTCTTTGCTTCTCTACAGCAAATCAAGTAATCCAAAGTATTCAGATTACATTACTCACTTGAGGTAATTTAATGGATTACGTTACAAACTACATTTTGGGGTATGTAATCTGTAATCTGTAGGGGAATACATTTTAAAAGTCACCTCCCCAACACTGTCTGTGCATGGTAGTGTTCTTAGGCAAAACACTTCTCTTGCCTTGAAATGTGGTAGGAAACTATTAGGGTTTAACGTTAAACAAAAATCAGGGTTCAGTACGTACGTCGGTTTTGAGGTCACGGTTCGGTTCATTTTCGGTACAGTTTGGGAACAAAATCCAAAACCATTTACTTGTTGTTTATTTGAGTTTTTATTAAACCAACAATTTGTTTTAACGCAGATGTGTGAAGAATCCCTCAGTCGTCCAGGAAGAATCCACCACGAGGAGAAAATTCAGTTTGTCGACTGGACAAAAGTTAGTTT